AAGAAAAAGAATAAGCAAGAGAGAGAGAGAGAGAGAAGAGTTCTGCGAGTGGGAGTGAAGAGGGGGAGAGAGCTGTTGAGGGAGAGTGAGAGAGGGAAGTGGGAAAGAGAGAGAGAAAATGTGCGCTGCGACTTGCTTCATTCGTGTTATTTGCAACTGTCAAATCATGCGAATTTTGACAGTTTGACAATTTGTGAAAGAAAAAGTTAAAGTTAGGAAAGAAAAGTTAAAAAAATTGGGAAATGTCCATAAATAAAAGCGCGACGGCTGCGCGCGTTTGTGTTGTTCTAGTCCCTTTTTAAAAAAGGCATGAAACCTCGAACTCGAATATATCGAAGCGTTGAAGCCTCTTTTCCGTGATACTGATTGGCTGTCTCGCTTGTGCGCTGCGACTTGCTTCATTCGTGTTATTTGCAACTGTCAAATCATGCGAATTTTGACAGTTTGACAATTTGTGAAAGAAAAAGTTAAAGTTAGAAAATAAAGGTTAAAAAAATTGGGAACTGTCCATAAATAAAAGCGCATGCGCAGCGCGCGCCTGTGTTCTAGTTTAGTAAATTTCAGAGCAATAATATTTTTTTATAAAATCTTGATTATTTTTTATCTTCTATAAAAATAAATGATTACATTCAACAGCATGGCTGAGAAAGAGAGACCCCATAAATTTAGATTAAAAGTAATAAAAGCGTAGATGAAAAATAATTTTGTATTTTTGTCATTTTTTGAAAAAATAAATACATTTTTCTATTATAAACAAACCATTTACTGATTTTTTTACCTTTCAAATATACCATACTTTCAAACACCCCTAAAAAATCCTTAATATTCTATAATGTTTATAAAATATTTTTTTTCCAAAATACATTTTAACTTTAATTTAGAAAAAAACATTTATTTCTGTCAAATAAAAAAAATGGCGTTTTTTGGAAAAAAAAACAATTTTTTAAAAATTTTATTTTGATTTTGACATTTTTTCACTATTACAAAATTATTTTTTGCATTTGAGACCATTACCATTGGATTCCTGGGGAATTTTTACCCCAAGAAGCTTATATTATCGAATATTTTTGGATTATTTATGCGCGAGTTATGGAACTTTAAAAATGCAAAATCCCAAATCGCACTAGTGTGGTTAGTACGTATACTAAATAGAGGTGTGGTTTTACTACGGGTTAAAAAGATTAAAATAAATTCAAAACATTTAATATTGTTTTGTTTGCAGAAATTTGCAAAAAGCCGTTCCTTTTATATATATACAGGGTGTTCCAGGAGGAAAGGTCAATATTCTGGGAGGTGATCGTATCGGTCATTTTAAGCAAAAATGTTCATATGAATATATGTCGTATTCTCCACGGTTTCCGAGATAGAGCGACTTAAATGTACATCTCGTGTATTCACTTTTCTTCTGTGCACTTCAATCTTCATCCGTGAACCTGTACAGTGAAGTGTACAGAAGAAAAGTGAATACACAAGACGAACGGCTCGCTCAGATAATGGATGCTAGTGCCCGCATAAAGGAACGTCACGATGTACTCAGACGAGCAACACGCCATGTTCACACAACAGTTGAAAAATGCATTGATGTTAACGGTGGAATTTTTGAAAATTTATTATAATCTGTAAAAAATGTATCACTTGAACAATAAATATTAGAGATAGTACGTAGTATTTCTTTCATGTCAGTAATTTTGCAACTGTACATTCAAGTCGCTCTATCTCGGAAACCGTGGGTAATAGAACATATATATTCATATGAACATTTTTGCTTAAAATGACCGATACGATCACCTCTCAGAATATTGACCTTTCCTCCTGGAACACCCTGTATATACAGAGTGTTAAATTTCAAACGTAACAGATGGAATATCTCGTAAACAATGCATTTTAGAAAAAAATATTTTAGACAAAAGTTGTATGGTTTCGAGGAGGCCATAAGATGATACCATTGGTTTGACCTTGAAGAGTTATTTGTAGATCACATGAAGGTCACATTTAATTTTTTAAATGGAATTCCCTATTTTTCATTACATATTCTTATAGCTTACCTCGAGAGCTTTCCAAAACATTATAATAAAGTATTTTTTTATTAAGTACTTTTTTAGTTATTTTATATTTTATTCGAACATATTTTGATATAAAAAATAAAATATCTCGTAAAATATTTAGTTTAGATAATCTTACTATAATACTTTTAAGTACAGAATGATGAGACAAATCAATTAGTGTAAAAAAAAACAAATAATAGTTCGAGATGCGTGGCTTCAGCGTTCGCTCGTACGTAGCCGTATACAGCGCCCCTTCCACCGCTTCGCCGCGCACCGAGCAACGCCTGTGTAGGAAGTCTCTTCTCGCCGCGCGCTTGTGATTGGCCCATCTTTTTTAATTAATTTCTTAATAATTATTACGAAAATCGCAAAATGGTAAAGGACTTTTCTTCTCGGTTTCATGTGCTCTACCTGCACATGGCAGGTGATCCGCGAATTATGGGACACCCTGTATATAGCATATAATTCAAAGTGGCTATAAGCATTTTTATAACACTCTATATATGTAATCGTGTTACCTGTATATCCTATCTTGTACTAAAGAATCCATTATTGTCCCATCTATTTCGCCGAAAAACTTTCCAGTATGCTCGTGACGTTCGCTTATAATGATAAATCCGTTGTTATCTAGAATATAACAGTCGAGTTCTTCCGATGCACAATTCTTTTTACATCCTGTCATACCGGTGCACTAAAAACAGACCGCTCGATATGAATGTATCGCGCGTATGTATAATTATGCAAAGAACAAAAATTCTGTATCAATTTACCGTAGAAGTAATATTGACGAAATGAGTTGCCAAAGACGAATGTTGAAATTGCAAACCCACTACTGCCGCCGGAGCTTTGTGGCTTCTCCCGATGTATATCGCATGAGTGGCGGTGACAAGTGGATCGGCCGTTTCAGCTGATAATTCAATAATTAAAGAAATAATTAAAGAAATAATTTAAAAAGTAACAATAATCAAAAATAATTCTTTTATATATATTTGAAATATTATGCAAAACTCACGTGGTAATAACATTTGCATTTAATTATATCGGTCTTGCATTGACACATAAAGCTTATTCTAAAATATAGTGCTTATAATTTCTTAATTTAATAATAACATTATTTTTTATCTATGATTTATATCTGATTAATAAGGATGATCAAAAGGGGGTGGGGGAGGAGATAATTCTTATAAGCACATAATCTATTATCCAATATGCATTTTTATAAAAATAAAGATTGTTGATTACGACATTTGTATTGATGTAAACCTTATTCTAAAAGTATCTCTCTCTATCTTTTACAGTTATTATTTTAATTTAACAGAGATCGTCAATATGTAATAACACATGATAAAATATATTATGCAGGATATCTCTCATCTCTCTAACTTAAGCATCTTAAATATCTCACTTTTTTAATGATACGAAAAAATGTTAGAGGAAAATAATATTTGTTTGGAAGGGGCAAATATATATGTGTACAAACACACACACACACACACACACACACACACACATATATGCACATGCACACGCACACACACGCACACGCACGTACACGTACACACGCGCACGCGCGCGCACATATGCAGGCACACACGCAGGCACACATGCAGGCACACACGCAGGCACACACGCAGGCACACACGCAGGCACACACGCACACACACACACACACACACACACAATATATACATATATACAGGGTGTCCGACAAGTAAATGACCAAACGAAAGGTGGAGGTAGATTGGGTCCAACTGAGTCGGAAAGTCCTCAACCATTTCTTTTTATAACGCTTAATAAAGGAATTATTATTGATTAAGTCTGTCCAATCAGTGCCGATCTTTAGCCGCGCGGCTGATAGTGTGCGTGAGCGCTCCGTCGCTACGGCGACGCACACTATCAGGCGGACGGCTCACTGACGTGCGTCCGCCTAAAAGTCGGCGCTGATGGGCCAGACTTTACTCAATAATAATTCCTTTATTAAACATTATAAAAAAAATGGTTCAGAACTTTTCGACTCAATTTTTGGTAAGAAATAACGCTATCTACTTAGTGGGCGCTCGTTGCGTATCATCCTGTATATACAGGGTGTCTCATAATAACCGTATCACTTTTTGTGTGCAGGTAGAGCAGGTGAAACCGAGAAAAAAAGTTCTTTACCATTTAATAAATAAATGTCGTTATTTGCTGGGAAAGTATCGAATAACGAAAAAAGATTCGTTACTCGTTATAAATGTATCGAATAACAGTGGCATGTGTAACGCTACATGTGTAACGAAATAACGATGAAAATTTAGTTACTCGATACATTTGTAACTAGTAACAAGTAACGATCGATACAGATTTTGAACATCTCTGGTCCCTATTTGTCCGTTGTCTCGAACTCATAAGTAGGAAACTATTTTCAATTATAACTCAAAAACTAAGCTTTGGACAAAATTTTGTAAAAGAAAAAATTGTCTCAGAATTCGCTCATAAATATGATATTTCAAGGACATCAGTTTGTTTTGAATCACCCTGTATATTATGATAAACAAAAAATTTTTTTCAAAGTTTTTATATTTTTCGAGATTTCAAAGTCAACGATATTTTTTTTTAAATTAGATGACTTGTTTTTACCATCGTATTGTAATAGCTAAGGTCAAAACCAATCCAATGATTTATGATAGCATGACCTTTATATGACCTTGAATACGAAAAATCTTCTCAGGTCCTCCTTAAAATTTTCTAGCTAATGTTAGTACATGCAGTTCTCTAATGCATTCTCTAAAATCTTACCAATGTTTACAACTTATTACGGTAAGCAGTGCTTCAATCGTTTGATATTGATTATGTTTCCAAAAATGATCATTCTAATTTTAATCAATATTATTAAACATCTTTCTTATAATTTCAATATCAAACGGTTGTAAACATTCCTTTTTATCATAATAAGTTGCAAACGTCAGTAACCTTTGGTTTTCATATATTACAATCAAAAAGTTTAGTTTAGAAATTCATTACGATCGATTCGATTTGATAACCGCAAAAGTGGTGTTATATCTGTGAAACAATGATATTGTTTAATTAATATTGTTCAATCAAACAGAAAAAATTGATACGATTTTAATTTATGGTCAAGCTGGTAAAAACTCTGTGCAAGTATTTCAGTTGTACGCTAAAAAATGTCTTAAGAGAAATCATCCTTCTCGACAAATTTTCGATCAAATCGTTCAATTATTTTATAAAACAGACAGCATTTATTTATCCCCAAAAAAATGATAGAAACCTACTACTAAAGGGCAGTCAGGAATTATTGTATTAGCTGCAGTCAGTGTTGTGAGACGGGCCGGGTTTTCTCGCGCATGCGCGGCCATGATAACCATTAGCAACGACGTATCTATCTGCAGTAATAACAAGGTTATGCTGTGGGCGCGAAAGTTTTATTTTGTTTTGTTATTATATATTTTGTGCTTTAAATTATTTTAACATCCTTCCCTCTTTCAGTTTATCTCTTTCATCACACAGGTAAACACACATGTGATATCTTTGTAATTTAAGGAAAAGTGTTAAATATTATATATGTATAAAAAAATGTATTGATCGTCTGTATACAATTTCACATAAATTTTTGTAATTTAAGGAAAAATATGTAATATATAATATATATAGCATATATACACAATTATATATATGTATGTATATATATATATATATATATATATATATAATTATGTGTATATATATATATACACAGACATATTACACATTTTTCCTTAAATTACAAAAACTTTTGCAAAATTATGTACGGGTGGTCAATGGTACACCTTTTTATCCATATATATACTTCATTGATGCTACGTTCGCCGCGCATGCGCGAGAAAACCCGGCCCGTCTCACAACACTGGCTGCAGTAGCTTATAATCCTCATATAAGTTGTCAACGAAAATCGAATGTTATTCTGGCATTTCTAAAACTAATGTATGGAAAATACTTAAAGTTCAGAAATCTCATCCGTATCACATTTTTTCGTATCAGAAACTTTGTGACACCGATTTTTAGAATTGCATTATTTTTGTGAATACGGCATTGCACGAAATATAAAGAAACAAACTTTTTTTACAGCGTTCTGTTTACGGATGAATTTACTTTTATCACCGTAGACAACTCAATACACATAACATGCCTTAATAGATCTTTGAAAATCTTAAATAGCAAGTTATGCGTCCAGTGGAGCATAAATATACGATGTGCTATTTTTGGTGACCGCATTAGTGGATTGTTTTGATGGTATTTGATGGCACTTTGAATGGACAAAAGTATGCAAACTTTTTAACCATGGAGTTATCTAATTATTAACTATTAAAAAAATCCCCTAGTTCAAAAAAGTCAGATATAGTATAACATGACGGACATTCATAATGTATTTGTAACTCCATTTATTTAAAATATTAAATAAAAGATTTCCATGTGTGTGTCGTTAAATCGAATGCGACGCAAATATTCGATGATCTTGTTCACTTGATTTAACGCTATTAGGATTTTTTTAAACAGAAGTTTTTTGCATAGAAAAGAATAGAATTTACGCATTACGTGTTGGCACAATATGCCAACAAAAACTAAATAAAAAATGAGCGTAACATGATGTTATGTTGTATCAGCAGAATATCGTCAGAAATCGAGCTCATTTGCAAACACAGTGTGACGGCAGAAATGCGGCAAAAATTGAGCATGCACTGCCATCTCCTATTAAGTTGCATAATAAAATCGGTAAAACTACGAACACAACACAAACATTTTTTCCACGTCTGCTTTATAACATACACAAATGACGTATCATTTCTCCCAGGGTTGGGTAAGTTTTTTTTTTAACTAGGTTAAGTTTAAAGTTAATGACCCCAAAATTAACTAAGTTTACGGGTAAAGATATTTAAACAAAAATTAACTCAGTTAAAATTAAGTTAAAAAATTATGGTAAATATGCATATTAGCGCCGACCTCACCGATTTCAATAACCTTGACATATGTTGTCAAGGACATGACTCTAAGTAACTTGCAAAAAATTTTAACCGTCGCTCGTTGTTTATTACAAAGTTATTAACAATCGAAAATAGTGACCAACCGATACTTGCGACATAAGACTGTATATATTTATTTCGGCATGAATTGCCAAGCTTATATTTTTAAATTAAATTAGAAATAAGTTTGGCGATATGAACTAAATCTCGTTTTGCACTCAAAGTTGCAAATCCATTTAAAATCGTATCTCACTTCGCGTGAAAAGTCATAAACTTAAATTGTTAATGACTCTGTAATAAACAATGAGCGACGGCTAAAATTTTTTGCAAGTTACTTAGTGTCATGTCCTTGACAACATATGTCAAGGTCATTGAAATCGGTGAAGTCGGCGCTAATATGCATATTTACCATTTTTCTTTAAATAATAATTAATAATACACATTAGTTAGATATTATAGTTGTGTAATAAAGATATTATAGTGTTTAAAAACAAAATGGTTAATAGGGACTTCGGTTAAAAAGATTTTCCTGTTTAATTTGAACTGCTCTAGCTGCCCACGTGCGTTTTATCTTTATCTTTAATTGTTAGATACTCTAACAATAAATTAAAACAATTTAAAAATATTTATTAAATTTTAATAAAAGTGTCATCTCAATTATGGTCCGTCATTTTTCCTCTTAAGTCATCATATATTAAATCACCTGCACTAAACTTATGCTTTACATGCGTCGAGGATGGTACCGTTGTGTTGTATTTTATGAACCAATGTTTTAATGATACTGGATACTGTCTTATGTTATTATAATTATTAGTAAACAAATAATTTTTGACTATCAAAGATATAAAATTGTAACTTGTACGAAAAAAGTTAATAAGTTAACGTTAATGCATTTAAAAATAACTAGTTTAAG